TATTCAATAAGTATCGTCAAATATATTCACTATGTTTTTGTTTTTTCATTGTATATGTTACAAATGAGGACCGTAATGTTATCTAATTGGATAATTATCAATAATAATCGAAACGTTTTCGTATGCAATGTGTATCGCATCTACAGGGATCGCGATATAATCGTTATTGATGCGTCTGTGTAAATTTTGAGTAATCAGTTTAAAACAGAATCGGGGATAATTCCTACGAATTGGTGCAATTGGTTTCATGATTGTAACCTATTATAATCTAAACATTTTCGTATTCAATGTTCATCTTTATCATAAATGATCACGATATTATCGTATTTGATGTACCTGTTTGCATTTTGAGTAATCTGTTCAAAATACTGTCGAGTGACCTCATCATCTAATATGAAGTGAAGTGCTCACGGGTGGAGGGAGGGAATCGAAAATTTTAAATCAATTTAATTACCGAAATCAGACAGGCACTAAAAGTTGTTAAAATTTTCATGGACTTACAATATTCATGCTTATATGTTACATTATATTCATGCTCATAGTCAATAAGTATAGTCAAATATATTCGCTATGTTTTTGTTTTTTCATTGTATATGTTACAAATGAGGACCGTAACGTTATCTAATTGGATAATTGTAATTATCAATAATAATCGAAACGTTTTCGCATTCAATGTGTATCGCATCAATAAGGATCGCGATATAATCGTTATTGATGCGTGTGTGTAAATTTTGAGTGACCAGTTTAAAACAGAATCAGGGATAATTCCTACGAATTGGTGCATTTGGTTTCATGCTTGTAACCTATTATAATCTAAACATTTTCATATTCAATTTTCATCGCTATCATTAATGATCACGATATTATCGTATTTGATGTACCTGTTTGCATTTCGAGTAATCTGTTCAAAATGCTGTTCAGTGACCACACCCCTCTAATATGATGTGAATTGCTCATTGGGGGAAGGAGGGAATCGAAAATTTTATATCAATTTAATTACCGATATCAAACAGACACTAAAAGGTGTTAAAATTTTCATTGACTTACAATATTCATGCTTATATGTTACATTATATTCATGCTCATATTCAATAAGTATCGTCAAATATATTCGCTATGTTTTTGTTTTTTCATTGTATATGTTACAAATGAGGACCGTAATGTTATCTAATTGAAAAACTGTAATTATTAATAATAATCAAAGCGTTTTCGTATTCAATGTGTATCGCATCAATAATGATCGCGATATAATCGTTGTTGATGCGTCTGTGTAAATTTTGAGAAATCAGTTTGAAGCAGAATCGGGGATAAATTATAATCTAAACATTTTCCTATTCAATTTCATCGCTATCATTAATGATCACGATATTTTCGTATTTGATGTACCTGTTTGCATTTTGAGTAATCTGTTCAAAATGCTATCGAGTGACCCCACCGTCTAATATGACGTGAATTTCTCACGGGTGGAGGGAGGGAATCGAAAATTTTATATCAATTTAATTACTGATATCAGACAGACATTAAAAGGTGTTAAAATTTTCATGGACTTACAATATTCATGCTTATATGTTACATTATATTCATGCTCATATTCAATAAGTATCGTCAAATATATATTCGCTATGTTTTTGTTTTTTCATTGTTTATGTTACAAATGAGGACCGTAATGTTATCTAATTAGAAAACTGTAATTATTAATAATAATCAAAATGTTTTCGTATTCAATGTGTATCGCATCAATAATGATCGCGATATAATCGTTATTGATGCGTCTGTGTAAATTTTAAGTAATCAGTTTGAAGCAGAATCGGGGATAAATCCTACGAATTGGTGCATTTGGTTTCATGATTGTAACCTATTATAATCTAAACATTTTCCTATTCAATTATCATTGCTATCATTAATGATCACGATATTTTCGTATTTGATGTACCTGTTTGCATTTTGAGTAATCTGTTCAAAATGCTGTCGAGTGACCCCACCATCTAATATGACGTGAAGTGCTCACGGGTGGAGGGAGGGAATCGAAAATTTTATATCAATTTAATTGCCGATATCAGACAGACACTTAAAGGTGTTAAAATTTTCATGGACTTACAATATTCATGCTTATATACCTNATATTCAATAAGTATCGTCAAATATATTCGCTATGTTTTTGTTTTTTCATTGTATATGTTACGAATGAGGATCGTAATGTTATCTAATTGGATAATTGTAATTATCAATAATAATCGAAACATTTTCGTATTCAATGTGTATCGCATCAATAAGGATCGCGATATAATCGTTATTGATGCGAATGTGTAAATTTTGAGTAATCAGTTTAAAACTTAATCGGGGATAATTCCTTCGAATTGGTGCATTTGGTTTCATGATTGTAACCTATTATAATATAAACATTTTTGTAATCAATGTTCATCGTTATCATAAATGATAACGATATTATCGTATGTGATGTACCTGTTTGCATTTCGAGTAATCTGTTCAAAATGCTGGCGAGTGACCACACCATCTAATATGACGTTAAGTGCTCACGGGTGGAAGGAGGGAATCGAAAATTTTAAATCAATTTAATTACCGAAATCAGACAGACACTAAAAGGTGTTGAAATTTTCTTCATGGACTTATAATATTCATGCTTATATATTACATTATATTCATGCTCTTATCCAATAAGTATCGTCAAATATATTCGCTATGTTTTTGATTTTTCATTGTATATGTTACAAATGAGGACCGTAATGTTATCTAATTGGATAATTGTTATTATCAATAATAATCCAAACGTTTTCGTATTCAATGTGTATCTCATCAATAAGGATTGCGATATAATCGTTATTGATGCGTCTGTGTAAATTTTGAGTAATCAGTTTAAAACAGAATCGGGGATAATTCCTACGAATTGGTGCATTTGGTTTCATGATTGTAACCTATTATAATCTAAACATTTTCATATTCAATTTTCATCGCTATCATTAATGATCACGATATTTTCGTATTTGATGTACCTGTTTGCATTTTGAGTAATCTGTTCAAAATGCTGTTTAGTGACCCCACCATCTAATATGACGTGATGTGCTCACGGGTGGAGGGAGGGAATCGAAAATTTTGTATCAATTTAATTACCGATATCAGACAGACACTTAAAGGTGTTTATTCACCGCAGGTGACCAGCCGACCCGCGAAGCGGGTTTGCAGCTTTTCGCGGTCCCCGCGACTTAAAGGTGTTAAAATTTTCATGGACTTACAATATTCATGCTTATATGTTACATTATATTCATGCTCATATTCAATAAGTATCGTCAAATATACTCGCTATGTTTTTGATTTTTCATTGTATATGTTACAAATGAGGACCGTAATGTTATCTAATTGGATAATTGTTATTATCAATAATAATCCAAACGTTTTCGTATTCAATGTGTATCTCATCAATAGGGATTGCGATATAATCGTTATTGATGCGTCTGTGTAAATTTTGAGTAATCAGTTTAAAACAGAATCGGGGATAATTCCTACGAATTGGTGCATTTGGTTTCATGATTGTAACCTATTACAATCTAAACATTTTCGTATTCAATGTTCATCGTTATCATTAATGATCACGATATTATCGTATTTGATGTACCTGTTTGCATTTCGAGTAATCTGTTCAAAATGCTGTTCTGTGACCACACCATCTAATATGACGTGAAGTGCTCACGGGTGGAAGGAGGGAATCGAAAATTTTAAATCAATTTAATTACCGAAATCAGACAGACACTAAAAGTTGTTAAAATTTTCATGAACTTACAATATTCGTGCTTATATGTTACATTATATTCATGCCCATATTCAATAAGTATCGTCAAANATCTTATCCCCCAGAATAATCTATTGTATATGTTACAAATGAGGACCGTAATGTTATCTAATTGGATAATTATCAATAATAATCCAAAAGTTTTCGTATTCAATGTGTATCTCATCAATAAGGATTGCGATATAATCGTTGTTGATGCGTCTGTGTAAATTTTGAGTAATCAGTTTGAAACAGAATCGGGGATAATTCCTTCGAATTGGTGCATTTGGTTTCATGATTGTAACCTATTATAATCTAAACATTTTCCTATTTAATGTTCATCGTTATCATTAATGATCACGATATTATCGTATTTGATGTACCTGTTTACATTTCGAGTAATCTGTTCAAAATGCTGTCGAGTGACCTCACCATCTAATATGACGTGAAGTGCTCACGGGTTGAGGGAGGGAATCGAAAATTTTAAATGAATTTAATTACCGAAATCAGACAGACACTAAAAGTTGTTAAAATTTTCATGGACTTACAATATTCATGCTTATATAGTACATTATATTCATGCTCATATTCAATAAGTATCGTCAAATATATATTCGCTATGTTTTTGTTTTTTCATTGTATATGTTACAAATGAGGATCGTAATGTTATCTAATTGGATAATTATCAATAATAATCGAAACGTTTTCGTATTCAATGTGTATCTCATCAATAAGGATTGCGATATAATCGTTATTGATGCGTCTGTTTAAGTTTTGAGTAATCAGTTTGAAACAGAATCGGGGATAATTCCTACGAATTGGTGCATTTGGTTTCATGATTGTAACCTATTATAATCTAAACATTTTCATATTCAATTTTCATCGCTATCATTAATGATCACGATATTTTCGTATTTGATGTACCTGTTTGCATTTTGAGTAATCTGTTCAAAATGCTGTCGAGTGACCCCACCATCAAATATGACGTGAAGTGCTCACGGGTGGAGGGAGGGAATCGAAAATTTTATATCAATTTAATTACCGATATCAGACAGACACTAAAAGGTGTTAAAATTTTCATGGACTTACAATATTCATTCTTATATGTTACATTATATTCATGCTCATATTCAATAAGTATCGTCAAATATATATTCTATGTTTTTGATTTTTCATTGTATATGTTACAAATGAGGACCGTAATGTTATCTAATTGGAAAACTGTAATTATTAATAATAATCAAAACGTTTTCGTATTCAATGTATATCGCATCAATAAGGATAGCGATATAATCGTTATTGATGCGTCTGTGTAAATTTTGAGTAATCAGTTTAAAACAGAATCGGGGATAATTCCTACGAATTGGTGCATTTGGTTTCATGATTGTAACCTATTATAATCGAAACATTTTCGTATTCAATGTTCATCGTTATCATAAATTATCTCGATATTATGGTATGTGATGTACCTGTTTGCATTTCGAGTAATCTGTTCAAAATGCTGTCGAGTGACCACACCATCTAATATCACGTGAAGTGCTCACGGGTGGAAGGAGGGAATCGAAAATTTTAAATCAATTTAAATACCGAAATCAGACAGACACTAAAAGGTGTTGAAATTTTCTTCATGGACTTACAATATTCATGCTCATATATTACATTATATTCACGCTCATATCCAATATGTATCGTCAAATATATTCGCTATGTTTTTGTTTTTTCATTGTATATGTTACAAATGAGGACCGTAATGTTATCTAATTGGATAAGTGTAATTATCAATAATAATCGAAACGTTTTCGTATTCAATGTGTATCGCAATTATAAGGATCGCGATATAATCGTTATTGATGCGTCTGTGTAAATTTTGAGTAATCAGTTTAAAACAGAATCGGGGATAATTCCTTCGAATTGGTGCATTTGGTTTCATGATTGTAACCTATTATAATCGAAACATTTTCGTATTCAATGTTCACCGTTATCATAAATGATCACGATATTATCGTACGTGATGTACCTGTTTGCATTTCGAGTAATCTGTTCAAAATGCTGTCGAGTGACCACACCATCTAATATCACGTGAAGTGCTCACGGGTGGAAGGAGGGAATCGAAAATTTTAAATCAATTTAATTACCGAAATCACACAGACACTAAAAGGTGTTAAAATTTTCTTCATGGACTTACAATATTCATTCTTATATATTACATTATATTCATGCTCATATCCAATAAGTATCGTCAAATATATTCGCTATGTTTTTGTTTTTTCATTGTATATGTTACAAATGAGGACCGTAATGTTTTCTAATTGGATAAGTGTAATTATCAATAATAATCGAAACGTTTTCGTATTCAATGTNCAATGTGTATCGTATCATTAAGGATCGCGATATAATCGGTATTGATGCATCTGTCTAAATTTTGAGTAATCAGTTTAAAACAGAATCGGGGATATTTCCTAGGAATTGGTGTATTTGGTTTCATGACTGTTATCTATTATAAATGAAACTATTTCGTATTCAATGTTCATTGTTATCATTAATGATCACGATATTATCGTATTTGATTCACCTGTTTTCATTTCGAGTAATCTGTTCAAAATGCTGTCGAGTGACCACACCATCTAATATGACGTGAAGTGCTCACGGGTGGAAGGAGGGAATCTAAAATTTTCATGAACTTACAATATTCATGCTTATATGTTACATTATATTCATACTCATATTCAATAAGTATCGTCAAATATATTCGCCAAATTTTTGTTTTTTCATGCTTTATGTTACAAATGAGGACCGTAATGATATCTAATTGGATAATTGTAATTATCAATAATAATCGAAACGTTTTCGTATTCAATGTGTATCGCATCATTAAGGATCGCGATATAATCGGTATTGATGCATCTGTGTAAATTTTGAGTAATCAGTTTAAAACAGAATCGGGGATAGTTCCTACAAATTGGTGTATTTGATTTCAGGATTGTTATCTATTATAATTGAAACTATTTCGTATTCAATGTTCATTGTTATCATTAATGATCACGATATTATCGTATTTGATTCACCTGTTTGCATTTCGAGTTATCTGTTCAAAATGCTTTCGAGTGACCACACCATCTAATATGACGTGAAGTGCTCACGATTTAAAGGAGGGAATCTAAAATTTTAAATCAATTTAATTACCGAAATCAGACAGACACTTAAAAGCGTTAAAATTTTCTTGGACTTACAATATTCATGCTTATATGTTACGTGATATTCAAACTCATATTCAATAAGTATCGTCAAGTTTATTCGCTATAGAATCTTTCTTAAATGTTGTGTTTGAAAAAAACTGCCGTAATGTTATCGCATTGGACATCTATAGTTATCAATTATAATCGAAATAGTTTCGTATTCAATGTATATCGTTACCATTAATGATACCGATATAATCGTATTTATTGCACCTGTGTACGTTTCGAATAGTCTGTTAAAAACAGAATCGGGGGTTATTCCTACGAGTTTTTGAATTTGGTTGCATGATTGTTATTAATTCTAATAGAAACACTTTTGCATTCAAAACACATCGATATCTTTAATGATCGCGATATTATCGTATTTGATGCACCTGCGTACGTTACGTGTGTTAAGTCGGGCGTTATTCCTACGAGTTGGTAATTTTGGATTCATAAATCCTATAACGAAAAAGTATCGACAATTCCTTCAGAAATATCGGTATGAGCAGGTAAGTTTTTCTCATAGTTTTGTGTAAAAAGTTGAACCAAGTGAAATTGTGAACAGAGTGAAATGTACTAATTCATACAATATTCATGCTTATATGTTACATAATATTCATACTTGAATAATTGGATTGAAGAATACGTGATTTGTTGCATAATATTGATACGTGAATTAGGATTTACGATTCCTATAGCAGATAAGTATCTACAAATCTTATCCCCCAGAATAATCTGTATTAGCCGGCAAGTCTTTAACATATTGTTGTCTAAAATGTTGAACATAGGAAAATTTACTTACCAATGCACACTGTTTATGCTCATATGTTACATAATATTCATACTCATATTTAATAAGTATCGTCAAGTATATACGCTATAATATCCTTTATTATGTGTTATGTTATAAATAATGACCGTAATGTTATCGTTTTGGATAATTGTAGTTATCAATTATATCGGACACACTTTGTTCGTTCGAAACGTATTCAATGTGCTTCGTCATCATTAATGGTCGTGATATTATTGTATTTGCTGCACATGTTTACATAATGAGTAATCTGTTCAAAACATTATACAAGCTCTAAACTGTTGAAAGTTCGATACTTCGAATCGTAATTAATTGCAACATGAGCGAATTCCTTTAAATCCTTTGATACTTTAGATTATTTTAAATATTTATTACTGTTTATTTTCTATAAGTCAAATGTAATATTCAAATTGATGATGGATTTTAATGTAATAATTGAACTAATAAAAGTTTCAATTGTATTGCTTCTTTCGATTTTATGTAATCGTACAAAGAAATTAATGTGATCCTTTTTTTCTTTTATTTAAATGCAATTTTTAAACAGATGAAAATTCGATACTTGGAGTCGTAATAAATTGTATATTCCGACTACTTCAAATCCTTTGATACTTCGAATTAATTTAAATAGTTAATACTATTAGTTTACACTCTCCCTATATCTTGTTCATAGTTTCAACGTCTGCTAATGTTCAACTTTGTAGCCTTTGTAATTTTGAATCCAATTCAGAAGACAAGGGAACTTCTGTATATTGGGAGAAATGGGCCGTTGTGGAGGATTGTTTTGATCGAACTAACCCGTA